TGCAGGCAGGAGGGAAGCACTACCACCCCACGTGTGCCAGATGTGTGCGCTGCCACCAGATGTTCACCGAGGGAGAGGAGATGTACCTGACAGGTGGGGCTGTGACCAGCAGGACTGGGGGGTCCTGCTGGAGGGAATTTGGGGTTTGGGTTCTTATGGCGTTTGGGTCTCTTTGTGCAGCAGTGCCAGAGACCCCCCGCCCATCCACTGCTCTCCAACTCCTGGGTGCCAAAATCGTTTCTCTCCATGAAACTCTCTGTGCCACCGAGCTGGAGGAGATTGTTCCCTGCTAGGAATGTCCCTGCACACCTGGGCAAAGCCCAATTTTTGCCCATTCCAGCCCAAAGGACAGAGGTGCTGTGATGCCCCAAGCTCAGTATTATCCCACTTTAACCAGCAGGAACTGGTTGGGTCCCCCCRAATCCACTCAGCTGAGGTTTGGCCACTGTCCCCAGTGCTCAGGGGCTGTCCCATTCCTTGTCACACTGTCCCCAGTCCCCTCACGTTCCCGTGGCACTGCTGCAGGTGGCAGGGACAGGYTGGGGCTGTCCCATGGCAGGGAGATGTGGCTGGGGTGACTCTGGTGGTCAAACACTGTCCCTTTGCTGCCCTGCAGGCTCGGAGGTGTGGCACCCCATCTGCAAGCAGGCAGCCAGAGCAGAGAAGAAGCTGAAGGTAGGCAGCAGGGTGAGGGGCATCTCGAGGGGTGGCACTTCCCAGGGGTGGCATTGTCCCCGAGTGCCTCCTGGAGCTGAACTATTGGGGCATTGCCCAAACCTGGAGGGGCTTCCCGAGGCTGAAGGGTGGGAAAGTGCAGCCCCCAAAGCAGCAGTTCACCTTGTCAGGGTCCCTCCTTGCCGTGCTCTCACCTCCCTCCCCTTTGTGCCTCCACAGCACAGAAGGACGTCAGAAACCTCCATCTCGCCCCCTGGCTCCAGCATCGGCTCCCCGAACCGWGTCATCTGCGTAAGTGCAGCCCTGCCCCTTGCCCAGGGACCCCGGGGTGGGAGCAGTGCTGTTCTTTGGGGGACGAGCCCAGAATTTGGGGACAGCACGGACAAGTCCCCTTGTCCCGGCAGCATGATGTGTCACCAGTGGCACAGCTCAGGAGCGCTCAGAGGGGCACAGTCCTGCCCTGCCAGCTCCTCTGCCCTCCCCTGCTGCCCCTCAGGCCTCTCCTCTCGGCTGTCCCTGCTGCTGGGGTGGCAGCAGGCTCTGTCTGCCCTGTGCTGGCTCCACTCTGTGCGCTCCAGCCTCCCTTCCTTCTCTCCTCCTCTTCCTCTCCGTCTCTCTGTCTCCGTCTCTCCCTCTCCCTAGGCTAAAGTGGATAATGAGATCCTTAATTACAAAGACCTGGCAGCTCTTCCCAAGATTAAAGCCATCTATGAAGTGCAGCGTCCTGACCTCATTTCCTACGAGCCCTATCACAGATACACGTCGGATGAGACGCTGGAGAGATATAGCTATGGGGAGGTACTGAGTCTCCGTAAATCCCGTGCTGGGATGTGCAGGAATGGGCCCAGTTTGGGGGAGAACCCAGTGGGAATAGCGGGGAGAAGCCAGGGGGAATAGTGCAGGGAGGCAGGAGTGGGGCAGGACCTCTCCTGGAGGCTTTGGGGCTGCTGGAAGGATTTGGGAAGGATTTGGTGATGCTGCTGCTCTAGAGTTAGAAAGGAACTCTACAGCATGTGCAGAGACAGAGCTGTGAGAGGAGTGATGGGCAGGGAATTCGTCCAGCACACAATCCTGCAGCCCACCCAGCACAGCACATCTGGAACACCTCTGGCTGCCCTGTTGGTGCCAGCTCTGCAGCCCRGGAAGGGGCTTGGGCAGGGCATTTCCCCCAGGGTGTGATGAGAGGATGTTCCAGCAGCACACGGCACAGCTGGGGCTGCTGGGTGAGTTCAGGGGTCATGGAAGAGGAGGGTCTGAGCAGCTCACAAACACACAGGGGACCTGAGGTGGTGCTGGAACAGGACTTGGCAGCACCAGCAGCAGCATCTTTTACATCCCCATCCCCAGGTTTTGTCCCAAGCTGGTTTCATGCAGCCCAGCCAGGGCGCTGCAGGCAGCTTGGCCATGGCCCTCTGTGCCTTCTGTGCCTTCCCCCCTGCACAGAGGTCTCTGAGGAGTCTCTGCCAGCTGCTGATTCCTCCTGCCAGTTCCCCTCCCTGCCCAGTGTCCTGTCCCAGTCCAGCTCTGGCTGACACCAGTCCCCTTCAGTGATGGTGACATGAGGAAAACGAGCTGCAGCGGGATCCCTGTGTGCCACAGCTGCAGTGGGATCCCAGTCTGTTACTGCTCCTCTTAACCATGTGCTGTCTCTCTCTCTCCCTCTCTCTTTCCCTCCTCACTTTGCCTCCTGCTGCCTCCAGTCCCTGGGGACCCTCTCCCCCTACTCACAGGTAACGGCCCTGTGGGCATGGGGGTTCTGTCACCTGCTGCTGCCACAGGGCATCCTGTGCCCAGGGGCTCTGCTGATCATCCCCCGGGCTGTGGGGAGATGGAGGGGACCCAATTCAGGACGATCCCATCCTTTGGGCCCCAAAGAGAGCAGGCCTGGCAGAATGGCCCCAGGGTGCAGCTTCTGCCCTGTGGAGGATGGCACCAGGAACTGGGAACAAGTACCAGAGAAGGGGACAATCTCCAGGCAGAAAAGCTCTGCTGGGCACTGTTACCAAGTCCCAAAGCTCAGCTTGGCTGCCTGTGCCTGGCAGGGGGGCAGGGCAGGCTGGGGACCCCTCCAGCTGCAGAGAACACAGAGTGGCACACCCAGTGGCACACCCACACGGGGACCCCATCCGTGGGACAGCTCCTGGCAGCTCTAACCGCAGCCCTTCCCCACCCCCAGGACATCTACGAGAGCTTTGACACGCGGCAGAGACGCGCCTCCAGCCCTGGCTACATCGACTCCCCCACCTACAGCCGCCAGGGCATGTCCCCCACCATCCCCAGGTCTCCCCACCATTTCTACCGCTCAGGTGAGGATCTCGRCTGCAAGCCCAAGCTGAGCTGAGCTCAGACCACCAAAAGGAGCGAGGATCACAAAAATATCCCTGAGACTTCTGTGGTTCCTCCTCTGGCAAGGAGTCCTGGGGTGGTCCATGGAGGGAGCAGTGCCCAGCTCTGCACATCCTCTGGCTCTCCAAACTCCTGCGAGCAGCAAGCAAAGGCCGAGGGGAATTTGTGGCTTGTGGAGGATGGGGTGGGAGGCAGGTGCCCTCCAGCTCTGGTAAAGAACCCTCGGCTGTGCTGGTGGCTCCGGGAGGGGCGTGCAGGAGAGTGCTTGTGCACAGGCAGGTTCTTGCACACGCACGCCCCGGAGCATGGCAGGGAGCAGAGCGTACCTGGGCCGTGTCTCCCATCCTCGGGAGCTGTGCAGGAAGGACTGGGACACTCGGAGGTCACCGGGAGTCCCCGGCAGCGCCACGGGCTCCTCACCGCTCGCAGCGCGCTCGGCTTCGCTGTCGGCGCTGGGCTGCCCCGGGCTCTGCTCTGCATCCCGCCCGCCTCCGGAGATGCGGGAAAGCTCCCCCCGCTCCATCACCGCCGCTCCTGGGCCGTCACCCCATCACCCCCCGCCTCACACGGGTCACCCCCGCTCTTCTAACACCGCTGCATTTAACACCCATTTTCTTCTGCCTCTTGTTCTCTCTCTCGGTCACTCACGCTGCTTGTGCTGGGCCCCGCGCAGGCACCGAGAGCGGGCGCAGCTCCCCCTACTATAGCCAGTTAGATGTGAGGTCCTCCACTCCAACCTCATACCAAGCGCCCAAGCATTTCCACATCCCAGGTAGGCTCCGGAGCGCCCCGCCGCCGGGGGAAGCGCCGTGTCCGTGGCATGCCCGCATGTGCCGTCCCYGCTGTGTCGCATGCCTAGCTCCGCCGCCTGCCTAGAGCCAGCTGGCAGCAGGATCTACCCCCGGTAGAGGCCATCCATAAACAGGACCTGCGGCTTGAACCCCGCTCCTTCTTTCCCCGTCACCGCCCGGAGGTCCCAGAGCCGCCCGGAGTCTGCTTGATCCTTGCAAAGCCCCTCTTCTTCCTCTTCCCTGCCCTCCCTCCACTGCCCACACCAAGATGAGTCCCCTGGTGAGATCCTGYCCCCTCCCCTGCCTTCCCCCAGGAYCACCAGCCGGAGCGTGTGTGCCAGAGGCGTTTCCACACCCACCCGCTACAGATGACTATTTTATACTCCCCCTAGGGCCCGCCGCTCCCTCCCCCCAGASTCTTCTGGGCTTGCCAGATGCCTGCTCCCCTTCTGCAGGGATTGCAGGGGGCCACCAGGTAAGGGCCACCACCCACCCGCCCGCTCCCGGCCACACAGAGCCCACGGGGACGGGGACGGAGCGGGCAGGAAGGGAGAAGGGTTGGGAAGCAGGCAGAGCTGCCCGTCACCCCTCAGCGGGGTCAGAGCCCCGAGCACCCACTCAGCTGTTGGCATCTCCCCCGGCCCCGTCCTCCRAAGGGTGGCATTGTCCCCAGAGCATCGCTGATGCCCCGGGAGGGCACCGTGAGGACACCCAGAGTCTCCCTCCA